GGGCGGTGGATATTTGTGGCGGTCAATGTGGATATTGTGGATGAGTTCTTCTGTGTCATCACGTTCTATTAGTTCTACAGCTTCAGTTTCGGAACTTTCACGCTTAGTAACACATACAGCTGTTCCCTCACCACAGTGAAACAGTGAAAAGGGACTTCTTTCAAACAGTGTCGCGTTCCGAACGTTGTTTAAGCGACATACACCGGTATTGCGGTATTTAAAAAATTCATATCATAACAAAAATAAACACCGGTATTCGGTATGAACCGGTATACCGCCCAGCACTACTTCAATATAAGCTGTTTTTAGACTAATGAGAAAGTTTTGAGTTCTGAAACTTACAGGATAGTACAATGACCTCTTATATGTCAAAAGTTCAAGGGAATTTCGATTTCTCAGTTCATGACCCCTTTAAATCTAAATTTAAGGACCAATGTTTGGCTGCTAATAAACTTCATCACTTGGGAGTTGGCGCTCAGAATGCATTTGTAAATCTTTCTGTGAAGCTTTTGAGACTTTTCTGTAAAATCAAATTCGCTATTTTAGCTCGGTCACCATTCATTGTCAGACATGCTATTGCAACTCGATGAAGGAAAGGCAAAGGATTAAGTTAAAATCGGCCAGTCACATTGACTAAACGTCAGTAAAAAAAACATGAGAATCTGACTGAACTGCTATCATAGGCCACAGAGCCGAAACAGATAACAGTGAAATACAGGGATAACTGCATTTCCTTATTCTCCTGATTTAGTTAATGTTATAAACTGACATGTGATTCTCACATGGTTAGCAGTACAGCTTATTAACCACATGGTTGTGAGACGCATTACAGCATTGCAGTCTGCAACTCAGACCTAACTAACCGTATAATAACTGGGAAATTGGATTATCTGGGCATGCCATTATTTCCAGTGTGTTCACTGCCTGTTTGAATCGCAATACTTTTTACAACAATGAGAGCTGAATGCCAAATGAATGCAGAAGCTGTCTATAGCACAACCCTTAAGGCATGCATATCATTAAAACACAAAATGGTTTTAAAAGAAATCCTGTGTAATTCCATTGTGCTTCAAAACTTTTCTGCAACACACATCATTTGTATTCAACTAGTGGAAAATAGTTTGTTATGGCAGCATTCCAAGAACACTTTCCTGATCTTAACAACCAGTATCCTCACAACCACAGAGGTGCTCAAAACAGCACACTAGCATACTACTCTCGTTATTTTTTGCAGTATGTATACTGTGCACAATATGGGAACCTTCTGTATGCACAGAATGCCCAGATGATTTAAAGGAATAGTTCACCTAAAAATGAAAATTTGCTGAAAATTTACTCAATGTAAATGAGTTTGTTTCTTCATCGGAACAGATAATTTAGAATTACATCAATTGCTCCTCTGCAGTGAGCCGTCAGAATGAGAGTCCAAACAACTGATAAAAACATCACAATAATCCACAAGTAATCCAGACGACTCTAGTCCATCATTTAACGTCTTGTGAAGTGAAAAGCTTCGGGTTTGTGAGAAACAAATCTATCATTATGGCATTTTAACTTTAAACTATCACTTCTGGCCAAAATACCAGTCCATAATCCATAATAACATTTCCTTAAGCAAAAAAGTTCATCCGCTATTGTCCTCTCACTTCAAAATCCAATCCATTTATTTGTTTAGAACTGTTTTCTCTTGTAATATTATGCAATATTACGGAAAGAGGACTCCAACATTGCTTCTGACTAATTTAGCTGGATGCAGAGGTTTTAAAGTAAAAAATGTATTAATGATGAATTTGAGCTTTTCATTTCACAAGATGATAACTGATCACTGATGTCACATGGACTATTTTAACGATGTCCTTACTATGTTTCTGGGCCTGGGAATGTTTCAGTTGCATTACTGTCTATGCAGGGTCAGATAGCTCTCAGATTTCATCAAAATTATCTTAATTTGTGTTCCGAAGATGAACGAAGGTCTTACGGATTTGTAACGACATGAGGGTGAGTAATTAATGACAGAATTTTCTATCCATCTCACAGTAAAATTAAAATGTTAAGTTTTAGTAAACTTTAAGCTATAGTTTAACAAAATGTTTATATGTCGATCTGACTAGTAAAATTTAAATTAATGACTCTGCAAATCCATTAAAATAATTTACAACAACTGCAATCAACTAATGAATTGTGATTTTTTTTTATCTCAACATGTGGTTTGATTTGATGCATTTTAACAAGTAATATACAGGCAGTGATGCATGTGCAACAACAATAATGTTCATATTTCTGATCTACTGTCTTAACATAATATACATGTAACCTAATATAATTTATTCTCAATAATATGGTTAGTTTCTATTAATATTGAAGGCTATATGCTTAATATGTATATATCTCTATATAATATATCTCTGCTTGACACAGGTTGTTGGGGGGGGGGCTGGTGTCCCTGCTCTCTATCACCTAAGGGGTCCTTGCCCTGAAAAACATTAAAGATCCCTGATATATCCCATCACAAGATATTATTAGCATCACCATCTTTAGTATTATTATTATTATTATTATTATTATTATTATGCATGCTAGTACTACTTGAATACTACTACTATTATTGTCAGATGGTCATCACTGTTTATTTTCATTGCTGTTATTATCATTGCTGTTTTTGTGTTTTGTGTTCACCGTATGTTGTATGTTTTGCACTCTTAATAAAAAAATTAATAAAAATTTTTTTTTTAAAAAGATCCCTGATATAAACATGAATTATAGTGTGTCCAATAGCATATTAATTTTTGCTATGGTATTGTGGAATCAACAGGGAATAGGACATTTTGGGTAGTGGCAAACCACTAAAAAATGGATTAAAAACTACTACAAAATACTATGCACTGGTCCACATACTAATAAAAAAGTATGTAGAATATAGTCTAAACTGCACACTACTCTATGTACTTCAACACAGCCATACACAAACACACATACACAGCAGGAATGTTGCATAAAGGGACCACTGCAAAACAGTCTGTTGTGGAATGTTGAAACTGTACAAATTGTATTGTCATGAAAGACTGATATAAGAATGCAAAATAACCAACATTTATTACAATAAGTGACTTAAGAAGAAACTTTGACCTGAAACACTCAGTCTGAACTTTCATACTTCCAGATAAAACATCAATGTAAACACAGGACTGCGGTTACTTTTAAAGGGAACTTATGGACATTAATAAAGTTGGATAAAAAGTTGAGGATTTTCACATGAAAATGCGACGACCTAACACTAAGAAATAAGTCAAGTCTTCTTTCACCAAGTACTGCATTAATGTTTAGTACCACAGATTAATCTCAACGCACATCAGCCTGGCAATATAACAATACAGGTTATTTTTTGTTATGATACACAGTGTTTATACCTCGATATCCGGCAGCTCCTTGCTCAGCATTCGAGCCATGTTTCCTCCAAATCAAAACGAAGGAAGATCAAATGAAGCCAGAGCAATAAAAGTGCTTGTATTCCAACGATAGTCCCGCTTTCGAACCGTACAGGTTTACTTCCAGAATTTACTCGACGTCTTTCTTGGGAAACCACAGGATCCTGTCGCGTATATAGTCAGAATGGCTGAAAATCGTCCACTGCGACATCGAATTGATAGTTAAAGCAACCGCATAGATGTCTAGAGCTCCTTGAGGGGCCGGTGGGCACCTGTGGAGGGTCTTTCAGACGGCAGATAAAGTTTGTTTGACGCTAACTTTCTGCACACTGCACAGCGCGTGAGGACTAGGGATGGGCGTATCGATCGAAAGTATCGATATATTGATACTGATGCGAGTATCGAAAGTATCGATATTCAAACAAAAAATATCGATACTAAGGTGTTTTTTATTTACCAGCGATTTTGTTTATTTAACAAAAAAATAATAATGCGTACAATATGCATTGAATTGGACGAATAACCTTTGTTAGCGAGTAATTGTGTAGGATAGAACTATTTTCCTGCTCATCTGAACACGCAAATGTTGCAAGACAGAACTAATCAATCACAGAGAGCGTTCACTCACTTCTGACAGTACATTCAAACAGGGCTGCTTTTCCCAAAAGTATCATAAGAAAGCATTAAAGCTTTTGGGAACGGCAGCCCTGAACAATGCTTATCAGAGGACATACGGACCGAGTTATTTCACAATAAACAAACTGAAATTGTAGCTTACATAGTTTGTGCAATTACAGTTATTTAAATTGAACGTTGAAAGATAATACTGATCATGTTCTATTCTGTAATGTTAATAGAAATCATACACTGTCAGAATAAAAAGGTTGCATTTTATGCATGCAACAGCCCGTCACTGGCAGTCCCTTATGAAAATGAGCCATGGTTTTACTAAAGTGACCATAGTTCAACTGTAGTATTTCTAGATTTGAATCATGTGTAAACAAAAAACATACTTGAACCATGTGTAAACAAAAATATAACCTAATAAGTAGGGCTGCACGATAAATCGCATGCGATATTTAACGCGCATCTTGACAGAAAGCCGGTTCTGTAATCAGCGGTAAATCTCCATCACGTGCGTGCTTTCACATTGAGCAGCATTAGCTACACAGAGCCGTTGTTCACTGATGAGCTGCGCAAAAAATCGCGCGAATATGAACGTGGTTTTGCGCAGCTCGTCAGTGAACAACGGATCTGTTTTCATAATTTAAACGTTTAGTTCAGAAGTATCGAATCGGTATCGATATCGACGATACTGCCTTGAAAAATATCGGTATCGTATCGAAAAAAAAATAAGTGGTATAGCCCATCCCTAGTGAGGACACCGTGTTCACTAGCAGCTCTTGGTCAAGTCAAGACGCGGATATATGTAAACACAATGCTAACTTTGATTCCTAATACCAATACATTGATGTTCAATAATGGTGTGTGTGTGTATATATATATATGCGTTGCTCTTGAGTTGCAAGGTGTTTTGAAATCTTGTTAGCCTGTTGCTATGGGGTTTCTAGGGTGTTAGGTGTGCACATTACCTTTTATTCATTAAATATAAAGTTAAATAGCAAAATAGAACTGTGTAGCCCCATGTTTAATGATCCAGACTGGTAACTTTAATGGCTGTAGGTTAAAACCAGTCAAAGTTCTGCTAACTACAGCTATATTGCTTACTTTATATTCAACTCAAAATATACATTGCTTCCAAAAATCACAAACTAAACCTGTTCACTTGTAAATGTTTTCCATGATATGGGCTATATTTATAATAGAGTACTAGGAAATGCTGAAAACTGTGTATTTAAAAAACAAATAGTATGTGAAACAGTATTGTCGTCACATAACCATATAACATTTTCCAGAATGAAACCCCTGCAAAAAGTTTTTCCCATAAAACTACCTTTAATGTTAGCATAATTTGAGAAAATTACATGCATCTGTGTTCAAGTTCATATGATCACAGTAATTATGCATGTATATAAAATACATGTGTTCAGTGCACTGACACAAATATATTTTCCCTTCATCCCTCAGACAAACCCGTAAAATGCAGATGATCCCTAACAGCAGGGTTTGTTAGATCTAGTACAACACACACATCTTGTATTGATCACCTTGTGACAGAAGTGTCTGCAAGTCCAATAGTGTTTCAGTGGTGATCCAGTTCTTTGTAATGCAAGCAGCAGAGGATGTTAACCTCCATTTGTACAGTGACTCAATATTTGCAGAGAAAGGACTCATTGAATACTTTGTCATTTTTTATATGTATGCTCTTCAAAGCATTTGATCATCTTGATCTGTGGCTCATTACAGTGATCTTTTAAAGGCTGTATATATTTACCAAAACAGTAACACTAATGACTAACATATAAGAATCTAGGCTGCTTTAAGGTGAAGTAACATCACCGATTTGAGATGCTATTTGAAATCGGGTTAAAAATGATTGTCTTTACAAATATTGTTTATTGATCATTTCAGTCATTTTTTGTACTCTAGGTTTTTATCTTGACAATACGTGTTTTTATTGGCAAATAATTAGAATTTGTGACTGTGGCTCTGAAAAGCTGCGCAGTTATTGCGGTCGATACTGCAGCAGTGAGACAGTTAACTGCAAGTCCAGAGTGACTTGGCATTTTAAACAGGACTGTCATGTTTGTTGTTGTTATTTATTTATTTTTTGTATTTCTTGCCTTGGTTAAAGATCAGGTCAGGACTTTGTTGCCTCACCCACAAACAGCTGCCCACCAAAACATAAAAATGTATAGTACATGAGTAATGGTGCTTAAAGGGATAGTTCATCCAAAAATTAAAATCCTGTCATCATTTACTCGCCCTCCAATTGTTCCAAACATGTATGAGTTTTTTTCTTCTGTTGAACACAAAAGAAGATATTTTGAAGAATGTCGGTAAAGCAAAGAATTGACGGTAGCCATTGACTTCCATAGTATTTTTTCCCATACTATGGAAGTCAATGGCTACCGTCAAAAACATATTTTGTGCTTAACATAAGAAAGACACCCATACCAGTCAGTAATGACGTGAGGATGAGTAAATAATGACAGCAATTGCATTTTTGGGTGAAACATACATTTAAAGCTAGAAGAATTCCTCTGAGCCACAAAATGAAATCCTAGAATCTGCTCTGATTTCTACTAACGCTCATTTACATTTCCAGGGCAAAAAAAAAACAAAAAAACATTTAACAATATTTTTTACTCCTTATAACTTCATTTAGCCCTTCAAAGTACATGTTTTCCCTTTTGAAAATCTTGCTAGCTAACAAGCCAATCTAATTACACTCCTGCCAATTTTATTTACTTTTACAGCCAATGAAATCCATTTCTGTGTAAAATGTAATTGAACACAGCAATGGTCATTTGTCTTTGTGAAGGGATGTCTCATCACTCACCGCAACACAGTTTTTGACCTAAAGCTATTAGTGGGAGGTATAACTAAAATATCAAAGTATGAATAATCATACTCACAATACAGTTATTTTAGCTAGAAATCCAAATATGGGTTATTTTTGTTGCATAAACTTGTATAATCCTATAATGCCTTTCATTCTGAAGATAGAGGCCGCTCTTTCCTCACAGGCACCGGCACTAGAGAGCATATCTCAGTATTAAACTGATGATTATTCACTGCTCGGGCCATTTCTGGTCATGAGGTGAAAGACTGTTTGGTAATATAATGTTATGATAATCTAGATGGTTCATAAGGGGCCTCAGCAACATTTACTGTGAGTGTGCATATAGATATGTCTCTGTCCACATACAGACAGACAGGGAATCACTGTAGTGCTGGATAAATGCCATCATTTATTCGGTAAATGAAAGAGCATTCACAATCAGCTGAGTAATGCATGATCCTTTATTGTCTCAACAACATTATTCTGAACAGTGTGTGGGAGACTACATTGTCAGGTTTTTGGCATGGAAGTGTGTTTAAAACGATTAGCTTCAAATAGGATTTGCTTCATGTATGACCATGTCAAATCCAATTCCCCAATGACCGTTTCACACGTCAAGAATAATCCTTGATTTAATGCGCTTGTTCTCGCTTTAAAATTTCTCAGGCATATTCCCATCCACTGACATTTTTGAATATATAATTTAACTTTATTACTTGGAAAGGAGCACACTTTCTAATCAGGTTGAAAAAATTAGACAAAAAATATTTAAAATAAAAATAAAATGATACATATATGATTTAATGCATGATCCAGTAATTGTTCATATTATCTCAGTTATTATTATTATAAGGATTATTAAACCATTGGTTTAACAGTTAGATTGAATATTTCATATTACTTCAATTTTCAGATTATTAAGAGGAAAATTTGCTGTTTGTTGTTGTTTCATTTAATTACTGACTTTGACTCAGACATTTCACCCCAAAAAAAAAGGTATTTGGCGAGAAACATTTGAGTGCATATTGAGATATTACTTACAGTCTTAAAAACAGAGGTTCTTCAGGAAAAATGTTCTTCGTATTATTAAAATATTCTGTAGTGTAGATTACAGATTTTTGTATAATTGCTGAGTTGAAGCTCAAGAGGCGACGTGATAATAGGGCCTTTTTCTAAGGGAAAAAAATATGAAAAGATGGATATTTCACTAAAAATCTCCATTTGCTCTCTTTTTAATGGCATTGATTTCTAGGAGATCAACTGAGATATTAATGAAATCTCATTTGTGATTTTTGTTATATTCATTATGGCATACATTTTGATCTAGAAGATGTTTTCGCTGTACATGGCATCAAAAATCACATATTTAATTTGCCTGGCATATTGTCAGCTTTAAAACTAACAAGGCTGAACATTTTATACCATCAATAATGCATGATATTTACAGGCTGGTGTTGGAGCAGAGAAGAGCCCAGGGACTCGGTTTTCCCCTCGACTTCATTTGGCTGTGTGACAGGATCCATAACCCTCTCTGAATCCTATCAAATGATGTGGTATGAAGTGTCATCTGCTCTCTGAGCGCTTCTGAGGAGTTTCATCTCTGCAGGGAACTGTCATCAGGTTCCTCTTCCTTTCTTTCTCTCTCCCATTCCCATCAATTGGATGGGCTATCAGACACGTCCAATCAGAGGCCAGTTCCAGTGGTCAGAATGAAGGTGATCAGCAGGTGAAGTTGCTCCCCTCTGCATCTCTACTTCCTGTCCCACCAGGGCAGCGTCCCCTCCATGTTTTTATCCATCCTGAATGCAGCGAAACAACACGAGTAGTCCTTGAGATGCACAAAAGATTTGTGTGTGTGTGTGTGTGTGTGTGTGTGTGTGTGT